AGATATTAGGCAGCTGCATGTGGTGGCCTTCCTAACCCTGTCTAGGGCCTGTTCCTTCCATAATAACCAGATATTAGCGGCTATATCTATATCAAACAAGTGCTTCGGGTCGGCCTGACCAGGAGAGTCGCCAGCAACGTCTCAACGGGACCCCTAAGCTAAACCGGTGTTGACAACCACGCAGCCTGGCCTTCTTCTCCGGGCGGCGCCGTGACGCTTGGGTCCTCAGACGGGGCACCCGTCGAAGCAGTGGGTGTTTACACGACGCTACCCGAAAAAGAGTGCCAGGTGCCCGGGGTGCGGGTTGGAAGGGGGCCGGGGGTGGGGGGGTAAATTGCCCCGCGTCCGTGAAACTAATGTAGAGATGAGATTAAACTTGCAGAGAGATACATTTGCAATTGATTAACACTGAGCCACCGTGACAAATTGTATACACTTTTGAGGGAGTGTGTGTGAGTCTTTGTGTGGGTAGCAGTGTGTGTGTTTGTGACTTAACGTGGATTTAATACAATATCTCACCAGATATATGTTCAAATAAATCACAGCTAGACTTCTCACGCCTGTCTCTGGGTATTTTTGAGCACCAGATGGCTTTTTGACAGTAATTAAATGATAAAATATTTAGGTTTTGAAAGAATTCTAATGTTTTCAGGTAAAGCGTAATGAGCCGGTGGAGGATGTTCCACCTGCCGGCCGGTTCTTTCTAAAACAAGGATTTAGGGGACCACTGTGTTTCCTCTGCACCCCTCTGTTTTGTCTGGTATTAATGAGCAATTAACTTTGCATACAAGGTCACAGACAATGGTATTGGTTGTCAGATTATGCTAATGCTGTGGCTCGTTGCCGCACTGAAAGAGGACAGGGAATCCCTGTGAATGGAGAGGGTTGTGGCCTTTCTCCAAGAGGAGAAAATGATATGCAAACTGTACCAACATGCGCTTTAAGAGGATTAGGACACCACTCGACATCCATACTGACAACTAATAAATGAACAGCAAAAAGAAGGGGAGGAAAGTGTCCCAGTCTGGACCAGAAAGAGCGTTTCTTCCCTGAAACTTTCTCCGGTTGAGAGTGGAACTTTGGGCAGTTAATGAAAATGTAAATGTGAAACGCATAATGGTGTGACTCGATGAGTTGTAAACGTGCGAGGGTGAGATGAGATCAAAAGGGATGACAAAGGCCCAAGTGAAAGAATTCAGTGTGGGGTGAAACAGACCAAAGAGCCCGGGGCGAATCTAAGAAGTTGAACTCCCATGGCCAAGTAAGAGGGAACAGGTGCAGCCAGAGTTCATACAGGCCGCTTTGTGCTCTGATGTGGCTCCAGTCCATTTCGGGAAGAGGGAGGGGCCCATGTTTAATACAAATTTAATATCGATTTAATGCTTGTCACTGCTCTTCTGAATCTTGTGGCATCGCTAATTCGCTCAGTGTTGAGCAGAGCTTTTGGGCCGCCCGCGCCAGATGCTGCAGGAGCCTTCAGTGCCCCCCGTCCCCCCGTCCCACCAAACCCCCCCCCCCCAGCAGAGCTGAGGTGAAGCCGCGGCCAAAACACCCCGAGTGGGAGCCTGTGCTGAGGTGAAGCCCGGTCACTAACTGAATCCTCTGAAATAGATGTTTGGTTAACATCACGTGGCAGGAGCGAGGATTCACAGGACGAACTGTGACATTTTAAGGCCCAATGGACCCCAGTCTGGAAAATAAGTGCAATGGTGGCAGGAATAGTTAGAGACTTTAGTAAAAGTAAAAGTAAAAATTTTAGTTGCAACTTTGAGTATCAAAAGAGAGGAATTTACTGTGTAAAATGGGTATTTATTGAGTGTTGTTTTGTATTGTTGTCTTATTTTCAAATGATTGTGTGTGAGATGTAGCTTTCAAAAGATAAAATTGAACACTAAAATAAGCATTGATTCAATTTACACTGATAGCATTTAATTGTCGATCGTCAAAGGTGATCCATGTCATCAATCGTCACTATTAATCACACTCAAACGTAAACTACATGCAATAATCACAAATGGAATTGCTCTTTCAAATGATATCACAACACGTTAAAAAAAATCAATTTGTGTTATGCAAGCAAAGTGCAACAGAAAATGGGTAAATCTGTCAGGATGGACGTGTTAAGTGAAATAAATCGTCCAATGCATCAAAGCCTGGTGCATTTGGATGCGCGCTGCACGGCTGCAGGCTCAGATGATGGACTGGTGACCGGTGCCACATGAGGCTGCGACCAGTCGGCGCAATCTGTTCCTCCCCGGGTGTGTGAAAAGATGGGGAGTTCCCTTTTTCCTTGGCGCGTCCACGTCACCGATAAATAATGAGCGAATAATAAACAGTTAACCACCTGTCGGACCCGCGGTACAATGGGACGGCCCATGAAGAGCCTCTCATGCATGGGTAACATATTTACTCAGCCCCTTTCACTTAACGAGGCAAAAAGGGAGCCAAGACAATGGCGGAGTTTGTCTGTTTGGTAAACCGGCATGACCGCGTCGGGAGGAAAAGCACAACGATCCGATACTATTCGCATAAATTACAGGTGTAGCTGGAAATATCTGGAGAAATATCAATTCATTTAGGTATATTAGTACAGTGTCAGTCGTCTACTGGTATGTAGGAATATTATGCTACAGCTAAGCCTCCCTGCAGGGATATAAGGACACCATCGGTGATAAACATCAGTAATCCCTAAAGGGGAACCAGCCCATCATAAATGCACATAAACATAATTAGGTGGCCTCAATATGAATATTAGAAAACATGAATGTTAAATGTATACTGGACCTATGCATTATAATGCCATTTTTTACACGGGAAATAGAGTGATGGGACCTAACAATGGGGGGAGTGGAGGGAGGGCTGCTGTTAGTGGTAATATTTCAGAGATGTGCTTTTAATGGACCTTAATTCAGCCGCGGCCAGCTGTTTTTACGCGGCCTGGTAAAGGAGCGGGGACGTGGCAAGCTTGCAAAGCTCGTAGAAATTAGTCTCGGTCAGCCAAAGCAGCCCATGCTTCCTGCTAACCATCTGCTTACCGACCACAAAAGGAGGATTTCGGGCAGCCGAGTAAAGGAATACGGGCTCATGAAAAAAAAAAAAAAAAAAAAGAAGAAGAGAGAAGCTTAGAAGCTTCTTGTTTCTTAGCGGAGGTGTTTGGCTGTGCGGCCGCAGCGCTGCGTTAACGCCTGTTTTTGCGCGTCGTGCGCTCATAAAGCAGACGCACCTCCGATGCGCGGTGACTCTCTAAAGGAGCGTTTCACGGAGGCGTTCCCTTTTAATTATCCGATTGTGGCCTGTTTCAATTAGATTGGTGAGCTGATCCCGAATGATGCAAACGGACCGGCTGGTGCTCTTAAAGCTGGAGGACTTGTGCCGTAAATTGTTCTTTGGATTAAGAGACAGGTTTGCGTAAACACACTCTAAATGAGATATTAGCCCTTTATTTCTAAGTAGTTTTTATTTACTGGTGGTAAAACACATTTTCAGAGTGACATTGGCGAATATTATACATTATATACATTATATTATATTATTATTATTATGATCATTGATAATGTTTTGTTCTTAATATGACGTGTAATAATGACTGAACACAGACTTGCGATCCAAACAGAGATATTACTGCCTTTTTTAGTTAAGTAAATTAAAAAGTAAAGTAAAAAAAGGGAAAAATAAGTGAAAAATATATACTGAATGCTTGTGGACGTGATTTTGAATAACACTAAAGTACATCACTGAATGTAATATACTTAAATATAAATGCTATACAACTTTTTTGCACCACTTGTATTTATACGTAAAAAAAACTTTTCTAAATTGATTAATTCCATTTCTTATTTAATGAAGGCTGGTGACAATTAGCCGTTTCTTCTTCCTCTTCGGCGCTGCGATGCGTTTTCGCCTGATTGCTTTGCTTTAACGGGTTTTCAGGGGCAAAGCTGACAGAACACGACGATCAGGCTCCAAGTCGCTTTAATAAGAGTTTTATACGGTCTCAGTGTCCGCTCATATGAATGCGTTTTAAATCAAATCACAGATGCACTTTTATTCAGCCGGTTAAAATAGCAGAACAAAACCGTCTTTAGAAATAAAGCCCCCTTTTTTTTTTTTTTTTTTATTCCTCTGGGCTTTTTTTTTTTAAGCGCAGAGGGCAGAAGAGAAAGGCCGAGGGGCGCCTCCTCCGCAGCTGAGGGTGACAGTTAGTTCATGGTTAACAGGATCATGAGCGCACCGCTCAGGCCGCACACTTCTCCATGTGCGCGCTGAGCTGCGGATCTGTTGCGCTGAATGGAGCCTGTGCGAAAAGAGTGATATTTAACACATCTGTTAAAGCGTTTTGATAGCAGAAATCCGTTTAAGACATTATTCCATGACGAGGGCCAGATTGAGTGTTGAGAATCCCATGAAACCCTAAAACTAATTTACATTTTAGATGCTGCGCATGCAGGTTCGCAGCTTGTGTAGAGGATGTTCGCCCACATTGAATGTACTCAGTTATTATATCAATAATATTGCATAGCTCAAAGCTTACTTTTATCAGCGTGTATGTTCTGTATTTCTGGACTGATGAAAATCGAATGAAAGAAAATTTTTATAATAAACAGAAAGACACCGCGAATGGCAACGAATAAGGTGTATTTTATTGAAGTACTCGTTAAAAGTCCGCATATAATAGCTGGATCTGTAAGATTGCTCTTTAATTAGGCCGCTTGCCTCTGCCAAACAAAACACATTGAAAGGAAAGTGGTCAACATGCAAAATTGATGACTGGGCCTCCTTTGTGGTGTGGATATTGTGTGTTGCTTGCTTATGAGGTCTAATGCAATCATAAATTGCGTCCTTCGGCCAATCAGCGGGCCGGGGGCTGCGGCATGAAAGCGACCCATGTGGAGAACTTTGTTGAGCTCCATTGTTGCGGCTGTCAGCGCTGAGCGGAGGGCCTGCGGGGGGGGAGGGAGGGGAGGAGGGGGGCAGGCTCCTATAAAACTCCTCTTACCAGAGTGGGGAAACCAGAGGAGTTAGCAGCCATTCCCACGACTGATTCTCTCCCAGCTGACACAAGGAGTATCTCAGATTTTCACACGTATTTTTGTTTTTTTTTCTTCTCATCCGGGACCATGATGATCCCCAGCGTCCTTGCGCCTCCTGCCTTCTACCCGGGGCTGTACCGGCCGGCCGCCGCCCTGCCGTTCCACCACACCCACCAGTCCGGCTTCCAGACCCACTCCAGCTTTCTAGTGGAGGACCTGCTGCGGATAAGCCGGCCCGCCGCCTACATTAACCGGACTGTCCCCTCGGCGTGCGCCTCCCTGCCGACGGCCACCACCACCTTGTCCTTCAGCGGCGCGCCCGCCGAGCGCCCGATGGCCGCGACTGCGCTGACGCGCGAATCGTGCTCGCCGAAAATGTCGGTGTCGAGCAGCAAGGACCCGACTTTTCTCAAGTTTGGAGTGAGCGCCATCCTCGCACCGTCGCCAAAGACCGGTGAGTACGGAGCGTTCCTGCCGAGCCTTTGAGATGACGTGATGTCCCAGAAACGATTGCTTCTCATTTGGAGATGATTAACTTGTGATGTTATTGTTCCACAGCGTCATCACACCCTACTTTCCACAGCCTGCACTCCAAGACCTTCCCCATCCCTTACTTCGACGGCACCTTTCACCCCATATTCAGGACTCCTTATTTACCAGGTAGGCGCAACTTTCCCGGGCTTCTCCATCTTCTCCATCTTTTTTTGCCTTTTCAAATATGTCTGAACTAATTGCTTCTAAACCTAAAACACACTCGCACCGTGTTTTTTTTTTTTACCGGAAAAGAAGAAATCACTGTCTTATTAATGGGGGGCTGTGGCCCCCGCCCGGGCGCACACACCCACCCCTAATTAACCAATTATCCCAAATCGTCACGCTCTAAATTTGAGGCGGGGTGGCGAGTTATAGTCTCCCCCCCCCCCCCCTGCCTCCCCCTGGGGGGGCGTTTTGCAATTCTCTGGTCCTGGGGTTTCCCCAGAGCCCCGGGGGCCACCGGGCCGCGAGCGGGCAACAAAGCCCTCAGCACCGTGACCAATTTTGTCAGCTCCCACCGGGCGAGCCACCACACACCCCCGGAGAGTGACTTTTACCAGACTGGGGGGGGGGGGGGGATTGAAGAGTGATATGGGCTCTGGGGGGGGGGGGGG